TTTCCCCTCTTCTTTTTGCTTTTAGGGCTACCTGGATTAGAATGAAATCTCTGAGTGGAGGAATGTCTTCTGGCTAGACTTTGTTTCAATTTAACTGGTTCAAATTTCCACTTTCGGAGGCAAGACATGAGATCCTGGATGGGAGCAAACCAGAGCTATTCTGCTGAAGCCCAGGAATGCTTAAGACATTCAAGTCCTGGTAGCATTTGACTGAGGCTGATAAAGGGTTGAAGAGGCGTTTTGGTGCCCCCTAGGGGATGCCAGTTTATCAGCTCCCTATTCTTGAGACTGGGTCTCTGTGGTATTGACTCTCATAGACTCACAGAACAAGTGGTCATACAGTCTCTCCTTTAAGAGTTGGAATCATGGGTGAACTCACCACTTCATTGCACTTTTGGATGGCTTTAGATGCTAGGAGGTTTTTCCTTATATCAAGCTAATCTTTGCTTCACTGAAATTTCTACTTACCCTTGAATATTCTACCATCAGAGATTATTTACTCCAACCTTATCATTTTATAGATGAGGAAATTGAGACTCAGAGAGTAGAATTAACTTGCTTTCCCCAAAGCCCATTGCGTCACCTCTTCCACCCACTTCTTTGCAGAGACATGACTATGGGTGTAGAAGACTATATAACATCTTTTTTGATATGTTGGTCAGTTTTGCTGAGTTGAATTTTCCCCATTTTTTTATTCTGTTACAAAGGATGGCTTTCTGGGAGAGGAAGGAAGAGGAATATATTAGGAAATGTAGGTGATGAAAAACAAAAAGAATAATAAAAATATATTTAAAAAAACCCTAATACCACATTACCTTTCTAGCACTCAAGGACATGATTAGCCTGCTTTGTTAAGAGGGGAATGTGGCTTTTCAGAAGTTTGTGTACCCTTTCTGTGGAGTCAAGAAACTCTCCCCAATATTTCTTTTTGAGATTCAGTGTCCTTTCTCAACTGCTTTGTGGATGTTTCCATTTGGTTAACCTGCCTTCACAGACATCATGTATAAGCTTATCACCTTTCCTCTTCCAAATCTGTTATCTCTCCTCACTTTTCTGCTAAAGGCATGTCTACCCTGCCCAGGCTGGATCTCTTCTCAGTCCCACATACAGTCAGCTACCAAATTATATGAGTCCTTCCTTGCATTGTAATTCTTTTATCTGCCTCTCCGTTTCTATTCCATAGGTTTTTAGGGCTGGAAGAGACTTTTGAGATAATGACATTTTACAGTTGAGAACACTACAGTTCAGATCAATGAAGTTATTTGTTCCAGAACCCAGTGGGGAAGTAGGAGATACTGCATTCTTCTCCGGGATGTCAAAACTGTTTCTTTGTATTGCATCTTTCTGCCCATCCTAAGTCTGGTTCTTCATCATCTTTCAGCAGAGCTATTTCAATAGCCTTCTTATTGGTCTCCCCACATCTAATCTCTCCCCTATATGCCACTGACAAATTATCTTCTGAAAACATTTACTTTATATTTGTCACCTTTTTTTGTGGTTTCTTGATTATCTTCAACAAAAAGTCCAAACTTCCCAGTCTATCTTTCACCTCTCCACTGATTTCCCACTATTCTTTATTTTTCACAGACCCACCCTCTCCTCTCCTTTCTTCATTCAAACCTCTCCATGCAAAACTGGTGCATCCATTTTCCTTAAACACAATATGAATTCTCTCTATGTTTGTGGAACAAATACTCTAAGTCATTTAACCTTCTCAGCCTGTTTTTTCATCTGTAAAATGAAGATAATAACAGCCCCTATCTCCCATGGTTAATGTTTGTCAAGCAATTTGCAAACCTTAACACGCTATATAAATATTTTTTATTATGATTGTTGTTGTTTTTACTTTCTTTTAGACTGAACAAAGGATCTTACTGGTGTAGGGAACTTCAAGTAGTAAGAAAACACTCTCTACTGATACAAATCTGCAATTGCTCTGAAAGTTATAATCTTAGACAGCAAGCTAGGATGTGCTGAAAGAGAGGCTTAGTGGCTTGCCCAGGGTCACTCACCCAGTATATAATAGAGGAAGGGCTTGCGCCCTGATCTTACTGACTCTTAAGCCAATTTTCTATCTACAATGCTTCTGCCTCTCCACAGCATTGATTTTAAAGTAATGGGATCAATGCGGAAAGCCAATCTGAGTAATTCAAACCTAAAGCCCCCTCTTTCCCCAATAACATTAAAAAATAACCTGAAATACTGAAGAAATCACATAATTTGTCTCAACTATCTGCTTCAGTTCTTCTGTGTGGAGAAAACCACAATATCATCCAACTGAATGGAGCTGAGAGGGCCGAGGAAGCAGCTACAATGAGGAGTTTATATGGACCCTAAAACTAAATTCTAACTTCTATGGAAAGGAGGAAGAGTATAGCTTTTCCAAAGCAGAAGCCCAGCTATAGTCTCTTTAATGAGAATTTAATACTTTCCCCCCTCTGAAGAACACTAATCTAATTAACACAGTGTAATCTAAGAGTGAAAAATCAATTAATGATTTTTAAAAGGATAGCATTTCCTATTAATTAGTTGGACTTTTCTCCTAATTAAAACTGCGCCATGAGGACATAATCTATAGTGACTTTTTCCTAATAAATGTTTCAGACAGGTAAGTGAAAAGTGAAATGGACATAAAGATAAAACTAGTTATCTGTGGGCATCACCATTTCCAGGTGATTAGACGTTTTTAGCCAAATTGTAAATTTCTGATCCAATTAAATTGTTCACATTGATGTGACTACTGGGGTGGAGAGAATATGTCAGGACCCATAATTTGTCCACTTAGAACCAGCTGCCAGAGGGCTTTGTTGCAAGAGTATCCAAATCATTTTACTCTGACTTTATTGACTTTGAGCTTTTCTTTTTTCTTATTTTGGTGCCTTCTAGAAGTCAAATGAAGCATTTTGGGTGGAAGTAACAGCAATAATTTGAACCCTGGTTCCAGGATTGTGTAGATTAAAAGAGATATGAAAGTTCTTTGTATCTTTAAAGCACCAGCCACACAAATAAAGCATTTGGAGGAATGGTGAAAGGCAGTGAAAAGATTATGGACTTAGAGTCAGAAGATCAAACTTTGTGTACCTCCTGCCTGTGCCACCTGTAAGCCATGTGACCTTGGACTGAATTTCTTAATCTGTAAAATGGGAATAATATGTACCTGAGAGATGCTAAGAAGATCAAATGAGATAGTATATGTAAAGTGATGTGTAACTATTAAGTGTGCTAAACTACTGCTATGACTTCTTATATTTCAGGTCTGTTTCTGATTTTCTATCATGTCATAGTCTCCCTCTGCTTCAGATTACTTACTTGTAGATGCCAATGGGCACCAAAGATGATTTTCTGTAATACTGGGGAAAAAAAAGATCAAAGGTAGCACTGCACTATATTTTGAGTCAGAGTTCTCAAAGTGTGGCCTGGGGTCACATAGAAGTTCCTGCGACCCTTTTCTGTGTGTCTAAAAGGTCAAAACCATTTTTATAATAATACTAAGACATTTTAATTTCTAGTGTAATAAATATTGACAGACATAATGCACATAAACAAAAACTCTTAGTATCATTTTTAAGAGTTGAAAGGGCTCTTAAGACCAAACTTTGAGAACTGCTGGTTTAGGGTAAGAGAAACTTTAATAAATCTGAATTCAAAATATTTGAATCTATGATGTGCATTCCACCTTTAGAAGTAAGATAGAAAAGACAACAAAGCAAACTTATCACAAATGAATTGAACAAAAGAAATTACCACAGAGTTTCCTTGGTTTAGCATAGATTCAGCCTAGTCGTGGTAACATTAACACCACAAAGACATCATTGGTCATGGAACTGTGATCTTGGAGCCAACATGAGAACCTCAGTCCCCAATAATAGATGAAATATTATGCAAGAGTATAATTAATGAAGTAGATAAATTTTTAGAAAAATTTTCAACAACAGGAGTTGAAGCAAGAAGAATTTGTTGGTTAAGAAATCTCAAAGAGGCAGGAAACCCTAGTCTCTGGACCTTCCACTTAATTTTGGCTTTGGTGTATTCATTTGCATTGTGTTTTTTTATTTGCGAATATTTCTACTTGGTTTGTCTCCTTTAAGCAAAAGCAGGGCAGGGATTGTGCTTCTTGTTCCTTTTAAAACCATTTTTTAGTGCTTAGTTCAGAGCTGAGCACACAGTAGGTGCTTAATGAATGCTACAGTTAATCTTACCAGTAGAAATAAGTGGCTAAAGATAAAGTTATTTAAACTCTCTGGGACATGGATTCCTCATTTATAAAATGAGGCATTTGGATGAGATAATGTCTAAGGACTCTTCCAATTCTAAATATGTGAGCCTGTGTGATCCTATGGTATGTGCATAGATCATCAGTGGTCTAACTAGCATGAAGTCATTAAATTATTACCCTAGAGCAGGGAACTTATATGGCATCACACAGTGGGATCTTGTGGTCCATTTTCCCCAACCTTCCCATTCCTTCCTGTTCCCCCCTAACAGGCCAATGGCTACTTTCTGTTAACTCCTCCTTTCTGTACCCTGCCCCTCTTCTTCCCACCAACCAAAGTAGCCTTCAGTAACAGAAAACTCATGATGACTCTGTGTCCTGGGGTGCCCCCTGCCTGTTCCCCTTCCTCCTCCATCCCCTGCTAGTCCCAGGTACAGTAACTGACAGTTACAATTCTGTAAAAAATACCTTCATATTGTCAAGAATCATCATGGAGGTAGAGGTTTCAAGATTGTGCAATGGCCATAGCTCAAGTGGCTTTGAATGCTATAATTTAGGGAAAACCCACCCACAATAGAATGAAATGATAATTTTTGTAGTGAGAAAAATAGCCAATTAAGATCCAGGGCTTACCAGCCCAAGGCATTGCCATTTACCCCAAGGACCCTTGAGAAGATTAGCTGAAGATCTCCACAAGGAATTGCAGTAGGAGCCAGTAGAGTATATGGAGGAAAATAATGTGTGTTTAAAAGGGAACCTAAAAAGGAAGAGAATTTTTAAAAGCTACCTTTCTTCTTTCCTCTGCGGCTTCCAGCTTCTTCTGTATCTCCTCCAGAGATACATCTTTCTTCTTTGGAGATGCTAAAGTTCGGGGAGCCTCTGACACTGGAGATGGTGGCTTCAGGATCAGCTCAAAGGCCTGGCCGGAGGCTCGTTTGTTAATCTGCTTCACTTCCATATCTGAGAAATAAAGGGCAGAAAATTCTGACTACATGTAACAGGAAGGAGAGGGTAATTTTGATGATTATGATGACAACAATAACAACTCACATTTATTTAGCACTTTAAAGTTTATATCAAGTTTGTACTTTATAAATAATCTGATCTACAATGGGTAAATAGAGGCATTTGAATCGGAGTTGGAACAGAAGGGGCCCTGAGATTTTCTGTGCAATGCTCTAGAAATATAAATTCACACTGTTGGCATAATTATGAATGCAAGATAAATATTTATAACTTTTGAGAAAGATGACAGGATTTTAAGGGGAGGAGGGTGGTAGGAGGCCTACTTAGAAGAAAGCCCTGTCCTTAATTCACATTTAATTTTGTTTATTTGCCTCTGGAATGAATATGAGCCACTTCATGAAGATGAAGTAGCACAAATTTGCTCTTTGGTAATTGTCATGACTGGAGACATCTTAAGGCCACCTTTTCAGTAAAATGAATTAGGCATTCTGATATGCAGAGGCTGGGAATTACAAGCATATTTACTGGAACCAGAGAGCAAGTCACTTAACCTCCCTATGCCTCAGATTCTTCCTTTTATTTTGCTTTTTTAGCATCTTTCTCCCTGCTTCATTAATTGTATTAACCTGAACTTTCATTTACTGCAACAATTTACTATTATTTCTTAATACCAGGTACCAATCAACTTGATCAATTAATCAATCAACTGGGTCCCAGTGTACCATGGGTACCATGGAGGGGATATATGCTTATTACATTTATAAAATATTGTGAATCAATTAAATCAATTTTATAATTTATATATAAGATTTAACTGTATGTCTATATCTGTATTTGTACATGGGGTCCAGACATGATTTCATCAGGATACGGATAGTATTGCCATTGAATCAAATCTTGTCAGGCAGCTGGATGACACAGTGGATAGAGTTCTGGGCCTGGAGTCAAGAAGACTTGAGTTCAAATCCAGCCTCTGACACTTACTAGCTGTGTGACCCTGGGCAAGTCACTTAACCTCTGTCTACCTCAGTTTCCTCAGCTGTAAAACAAAGATAACAATACAATCTACTTGTCAGAGTTCTTATGAGGATCAGTTGAGATGACTTTGCTCGCCACCAGAATAAATTAGTAACTCCTTGGTAACTTAGGACCATGGAATCATAGATAGGGAGCTGGGCAGGACTTTAAAAGTCAAATAATCCAGCTCCTTCATTTTTACAGATGAAGTATTTGAGATTTAGTAGTCTTAGAAGATCAATGCCTGGGGCACAGAGAGGTTAGTTGCCTATGGTTAGGGGACTAATAAGTGTCTGAGCAGGATTTAAGCCAAAGTCTTTTTGATTCCAATTAGGATAAAAAATTACTTTTATCTCCTCTGTAAAGAGGTATAATTCAGTTTCCTATCTAATACTTCCAAGAACAGGGAATTCATGCCTTTATGAGGCAATTCATTGCTTTTTTTTATAAGTCATGCTTCATATTCATCCCAAATAACCACTGGGCCTCTCTTCTTCATGCATTATACAAAATATATGATTACTTTTGGATGTATTGTATAGCTTATGTTATATTGGAATTTGGGATGGGACCAGTGGTTTCACTGGCAGAGGGAGCTCCCTGTGAGCATATTCCCTCTGCCAACACGGCCCTGTTCTGCAATTTAGAGTCTTGGAAGGTTGCACTAGTGATTTGCCCCCTGTCATACACCCAATGTGTGTCAGGAGCAGAATATAAAATTAGGGCTATGCACTTCCCATTTGTTATGTAGGATGTGATTTATGATCTTTGTGACATTATATGTTATTTTATCTCTATACTTGCATATCTACATTAAAATAGTATAATTGTAATATTGGGGGCCCAATTAGCGCCCTTCTTGGTGAGGCAGGAAGGTGTAGCCAGAGGCCTGTATGTGCCCTTACAAATGAATGGGCCATTTGAGGAAATTTGGTGAAGCAGATACTCTTTCTCCCTTTTGTTTTTTATTATTATTGGGTAAAGAATTAAAGGATGTCCAAAGCTCAAATTTCAAATCCACATGGCACCAAGTGAAGTTGGGGCCTGGAAAACATGGGCCAGTTATATACATAGTCTTCCAGCATCTCAGATTGAGAAGGAACTTCATAGGCCTTTGAGTTCAACCACTACCTATACCAGCACTACTTCTATGACATACATAAGAGATATGATCTGATATTGCATTGAAGATGCAATGAAGAGGGGGGAATCTACCACCTCTTTTTATTATTTTTTTGTTGATTGGTTTGTTCATTTCTCTATCATCTATCTTCTTATTTATTCACTTATTTACTTGGCTCCATTCCCTCTTGAGGCAGTCTATTCTATTTTTTCAAAGTTCCAATCTTTCCTCACTTGTCTAGTGATATAATAGAGATATAGAATCTCAAAAGTCACCTAGCCCAAATTTCTTCCCAATACAGGCATCTCTTCTACTACTTCTATAAGAGATGGTAATTCAGTTTCTTATTGAATACTTCTAGGGACAAGAAACTCCTTTAGGCATCAATTCATTCCTTTTTGGGAAGTTCTATCTCATATTTACTCCAAATATGGTTCCTTGAAATTTCCATTTGGCCTCAGTTCTGCTTTCTGGGGCAAGACAGACTCTTTCTGCTACCTTTTCAACATGATAATCCCTCAAATACTTGAAGACAGTTATTATGTCTACAATAATGCTCTTCTCTTTTCAGGGCTACACATCTCCAGTGACCTTAAGCATTCCTCACATGAAATGGTTTCCATTCTCTCTTGATTGTCCCCCTCTGGACACTTTGGTTTGTCAGAGTCTACTCTTAAATGATAATGACCAGAACTATACCCTACACTCAGTTATTTCTGACTAGGATAGATTACAAAATCATTACTGCCTTTCATCTAGCTGCTATAAATCTATCATTGCTTCTTGAGTCTGAATTAACCCCCTTATCACACAGTTATGTATCTTGTGGCCTCTTTCACATGACCTGCTGTGAAACTGTCTCTAATTATAAATTTATGCAAAATGTGTACAAGAACAAAACTTTATATTTATCACATATTTTACAATGTTGATTTTAGGCCAACATTCTAGCCCATGTGAATGTGGAATTTTCCCTAAATTATTTGTATCTGTGACTACATAGGTCTGACTTTATTGAAATAATCCATGCTTTATTAGCTGGTGTTCTAGTAATTGGCCATTGACACTTTGACAGAACAGTGATCTGCTATGTTCATAATGATGGCTTGCAGATATTGTGTGATATTTTATGACAAATATCTTCTGGATTTTCAATGAAAAATTAAATGGTTTTATTAGATTTTTAGTGTTGAGTGGATTTGATCACCTCCTAATTCTTTGAAAATTGTAAATCTATGTAAAGTAACTTCCTGTTAATTGATCAATCAACAAGAATTTAAGCAGCTACTATGTGTCAGGCATTTTACAAATATTGTTTCATTTGATCCTCACAACAACCCTTTGTTATCTCTATTTTACAGTTGAGGAAACTGAGGCAGATAGAGGTTGGGGTCGGGGAACTGGTAAATAGCTGAGGTCAAATTTAAACTCAGATCTTCCTGACTCCAGGGCCAGTGCACTATTTGCTGCACAGCTTAGCTAGCTATCTCTCCTAACACTGGGGTACAGATAAAAAAAAAATAATACCTACTCTATAGGAGCTCAAATTCTAATGAGGGAGACTAGTATAAATAAGATATGCTGTATAAATATAAATTGAATAAAAACAACCATAGACAAAGTAGCTACATACAAAGTAGTTTGGGAGGGAAGGCACTAGCATTGTGTGCGTGGTTTGTGTGTGTGTGTGTGTGGGGGGGTTATCAGGAAAAACTTTACACAGAAGTTGATGCTTTAACTGTGTCTGAGGTAAACTGAAGACTCTGAGGTAGAGGTAAGGAGAAAGGGCATTTCAGGCTTGTGAGGTGGACTGTTAATCAGGACAGTCTCTTGCACACAAGGTATGTATTGCTAAAACTCTTAGTGCAGTTTTAAGTTTAAGCAAAATTTAGTTTTAAGTTTTAAGCTTTTTGGACTAAGACTTTTTGGATGCCATGTGCATGTGTACACAAGTATGTATGTATACTATTTATATATGTTTATGAATGTTATAAGTTAATATGTACATGCTATTATATGTATCTTGCTTAACTGATGCTTAAGACAGGGAAAAATTAGGAAAATATTTATGTATTAGGGGAATTCATTACATCTTGATTATGAAGAATTAACAAGCGTTAATCCTTCATAATAATAGAAAAGTTCTTATTTAAAATCATGTAAATTTACATATTGCTATAAATTGTGTCTATCATTCCAGACCCCTGAGATTTTTCATCCTTGTTATTTCCTATTCTTTGCTCTCCACACTTAGCATTGCCTGCTAATATTGCTATTATTTGCTTTATAACTATCCAAGAGAGGTTTCCATGACAGGCTAATAAGTATTCCTATTTAAGAGATAAATAAATCCTCTTTAAGCAGTCCTCCTGAAAGGGCTCCCTCTGCAAGGGGTTATAACACCTTTAGAAATATTGTGTGTTAACACCCAATGCTGATTGAACTCTGGAATAATGCATATGGTAGGGGTCAGTTCTTAGACCCTAGTCTCCTGTTGCAGCAGTTGTTACTGAATTAAAGCATCTGCTAATGGGTCTAGGAACAGCCCCAATTTTAATGGCCCTGTGCTGGTTGGGTGGTAAATATATAATTAACTTTCAATTCTGGGAAGAGTTTTTTAAACTGTATCGTAAACTTAATGTACCACAATAGATCATTAGCCATGCATAAAGTGCTTGACACTGATGATGTCAAATATTAAGAGGTGACACGACAAATACAGTTAAGAAGTATGGCTTTTGTTAATAATGTTAAAATTTCCCGACCCCCCTAAAATTAAGAAAACATTCTCCTATTTATTATCTAGGTAATGTTGACTATGAGGAACAGTGAGAGTTAAGATCCTTTTGAAAATATGAAGTTTTCATTGAAAAATTTATCTATGCCTGTGTCTATAGATATTTTAGGGTGGAAGGAATAAACTTACACAGACATACATGAGAATCAAATTCTTCTTGACAGAATAGTTAATAAAAGTGGAGGGTTTGGTGTGGAGATGGAGTGGGGAAGGTGATGTGGTGTAGTGGGAAGGCTTAGGACTTGGGATTAGGAGACTGTTTCCCCAGCACCTGGTATTGTGCTTTACACATGGTGCTTATTAAATGTTTGTTGAATGAATAAATGAAACCCAAATCTTTGTCCTACCTCTGTCACTACCTTGAAACTGGGGCATCAGGTAAGTCATGTCCCTTCCCTAGACTTCAGTTTCCTCATTTGTAAAATGAGGGGGCTTAAGTAAAATGATTTTTCAGGTCCCTTCTAGCTTTAAAATTCTGATAGAAAATAGTGATTTGAAACAGATGTGTGTTCTTGATACAGATGTTATTTCCAGGCAAAACAGTTAGTTAGCACTTGTCATGAATGCTCTGCCACTGACAGAGCTCTCAACAGAATGACGAATAAAATGACAGATGAAGAAAAAGTCCTTGACCCCAATACTTTAAAAACAAGAGAGAGTTGGTAATATGGGATGTGGGCCTCTTTACCTTCCCTTAAGACCTCTATGTTTGGGACTAGCTCAAGCAGGCTGGCTGAAGGCATTTATTATTTTGATTTTCATGACTGAATTGGGGTGACTCACTACATTAGTAATTAATAAGTTAAAATCCGTTGGGGAATTATGGTGGTTAGGCTTCCTCCAACTCTCTTTATCTGGATCACCAACCCCTTGGTGGTCTGCTGAAGCCCTTATCTAACTGTTTCTCAGAATAATGATTTTAGATATGAAAAATAAAATATATAGAATTCTATATATAAATATATAGAATTATAAAGGAAACAGTTTTATTGAAATTAATCCATTGAAATAAATTCCATCCAAATTCATGGACCACCTCCTCTATGGGCTGCCTGGGGATCCATGGACTCCAGATAAGAGCCTGTATTCTAAATGATACTAATTTTCTCATAGGTCCCTACCAGCTTTCTGACACTAAAAAGCAAAATATACTTAAGTGTATTTTTCAAAGCCTAGTTTTTGCTGAGGATTTTCTCTCCTTGCATTTTCAGTGAAACGCCACTCTAATTATGGATTAACATATGATTTATAACAAATAAATAGTAAATGAATGAATGGTCAGATAAATGGAGACAGACAAACAGACAGGGACAGGGACAGATAAATGATAGAGACAGATAGAGACAGAGAGAGACATAGAGGTAGAGATATATATATATAGATACACAGATGGATAGATAGATGGATAGATGTGTGATGCTGTTCTGGAAGGATCATTGTGGTTAATCTAGCTGGAGCAGCTGCTAGTAACAACGCAACTCTGCTTCTGATGAAGCTTTAATGTGTTATTATTAGGACCAAACACAAAATGTGACAAGCAATAGGCAATCAATAAATGCTAATAGCTAGAAACAGCAAGTCAATTGTGAGATCTATAGAGTATTGATTTAATTATAGCTGGAACTGGGACAGAGAAATGAATGATTACCCAGCCTTCCCAATGATCTAAGAAGCTAATTGATTTTCATTAAAGGTTACTCACCATCATATGTATAGATATTCATGTTGCGAGGCTCAGGATAGAAACAAGAGCAGATCAGTGACAGCATGGACAGCTCCTTCATTTTTTCCTTGTAGGCTGAAATAAAAAAAATATTACGTGAGTGAATTTTCATTGTCAAATTCCCATCTGTCTTTAGGCCTACATGTTAATTAGAGTAGTTTGTAGAATGATTTCCGGCACATCCAACTGCCTGAGCTTTCAGGTAGCCAGTCAGTCAGAAAACAAGCAATTTTTTTTTTTTTGGCTAGGCAATGGGGTTAAGTGACTTGCCCAGGGTCACATAGCTAGTAAGTGTTATGTGTCTGAGGCTGGATTTGAACTCAGGTCCTCCTGAATCCAGGGCCAGTGCTCCATCCACTGCGCCACCTAGCTGCCCCTAAACAAGCAATTTTTAAGTACCTTCTATATGCCAGGCATTGTGCTAAGTATTATGGAGGCAAAGAAAGGAAAAACAAAACAGTCCTTACTCTCAAGGAGCTCACAGTCTATTTAGGAGTAAACAACTATGTACAAACAGGGCATCTACAGGATAAATTGGGGTAAACTCAGATGGAAGGCCCTAGCATTAAGGGGAACCAGGGAAGGCTTTGTACAGAAGGTAAGATTGTGGCTGAGACTTTAAGAGAGCCAGGAGGCAGAGATGAGGAGGCAGAACACTCTGGGCAAGGGGAAAAGCCAAAGAAAATTCAATGATTAGGGAGATGGAGTGTTGTTCCAGGAATCACCAGGAGGCCAGTGCCACTGAATTGCAGAATGTGGGGGGGGGGGAGAGGGAATGGGAGAGTGTAAGAAGTCTGGAAATATGAGAATAGGTTGAGTCCAAGTCTCTCTTCTAACACACTTTATGTGTGTTTGACTACAGTAAACGGCTATGTCTAGAGGGTTATGTCTAGGCCCTCCTAAAGCAGAAGGCTATGCCTACATTCCTCTTTTATTAATTTATTCAATTGAAAAAATGGCTCCAGTTTTATCAGTAGATTGTCCTTGAGGACATGGACTATTTTTGTTTTTGTATAACCAGGGCCTAGCATACTGGAGGCATGTAACAAATGCTTGTGCTGTTGAGTTGACTCAGGTATACATTTAAGCACCAGCTATTTGCCTGTTTATTCAGAGTGGGTAACAATTTATATCAGCAGGATAAATAAGCAGTGATGAATGAAAGAAGTGTTATGCAGGGTAATGTGGGTAGGCTACATAGGATAGATTGACAACAGGAGAGGCTGAATACATAGGCCAGCTGCAATAGTTCAGGCCTAACTAAAGTGATCAGGCCTAGATTGAGGGAATGAGAATAGCAGCAAGGAGAAAGGAAAGGAAGGGGTAGCTGTAATACACATCACGAAAGAAGAACTTGTTGACTCCAACTGCATGTGGAGGCCAAGAAAGAGGGAAAAATGAAAGACTTTTTCAAGATTTCGCACTTAGACAATGAGCTACCACAGTAGCTCAGAAGAGGGAGAAATCCCTGCTGGCTGGTGTAGCCATGGAAGGCATCCCTGGAGAAATAGGGCATGAGATGGGCCCTGTATAGGATTCAGATAATCAGGCTCGGGGTGGGAGGACAGGCATAAGTAATGAAACCTAAAAAGCATTTTTATGAAAAATGCAAAGCCCAAGAAAACAAAACAAATATGGTATGTAGTCAGAAATGATGGTGCTAATAAAGCCGAACAATCGATAATGCAATTGCAAGTGTTTAGTGAATGGTAATTCTCCTTATAGGCTTAGGTTAATAGAATAACCATAATCCTTTCAATATATCCCAGCATAAAGTGGAGCTGTGAACTTTCTGGCAACTTTTGGGAGGTGATAAGTATTTTCATATAATCTTTTCCACGGTCGGTTGCACTTGATATTGGCCATTAATGTTTGAGAATAAATTTCTTACCCCAGTGAATTAATTTCAAAGTCAGCCCACATGAAGAATATTGATACTAGCGCAGTGTCTACTTAACCAAATGACATAGGAATGCTAATTGTTTTCCTCTGTTCTTCCACATGGTTATTATTAACTGTGCCCCTTTTACCCTGGCTTTCAAACAGATCTTCATTGTTTAATCATTGTGTTTGAACAAGAAGGTAATGTATTATTGATTTTAATAATAAAGAGACTGAAACTTACATGTTCTAGCTCTAAAGCCTGTGATTCTAAGGGTGTTTCCCCTCCCTGTATTGCCTTTGCAACTTATATTTTAGATAAATATCATAAGGAGACTTGTCCTGTCCATTGGCCCAGGCCCAGAGATGGAAGGGAGGGGTACCGTGATAAACAGCTGCAGATTGGAGGTGGGAAGAAAGCCTGACTGGCAGGAAGTGGGGTGGGGGGAAGCTCTGTTGAGTTTTTAGTTCAGCTCTCTTTCCCATTTGCTAATGGAATTTACATAATCTTTACTGATGTGACTAGAAAAGGCTCAGATCAGAACTACTTATGCTAAGGCAATTATCTGGGGAATTTAGGACAAGAAAACTCTTTTGCCTAAGTTACTTAGGCATTTTAAGAATAAGCATTTTTTTTTTGGTCTGAGTGATCGCCTGTAATTCTATTTCATTATTCTGTGTACTTATGCAGCCTTTAATCTCTCTCTCTCTCTCTCTCTCTCTCTCTCTCTCTCTCTCTCTCTCTCTCTCTCTCTCTTTCTCAATAGTTTATAGATTTTATTCTAAAAGCCTTAATTTATAGCTTGTTTGTTGCAATGAAAACTTAAAACAAGTATACAAAACAGTTGATTCCTAATTTTGTATTGAAAGCAGTAAGTTTCCATAATACTAAGCATATCAGTCTTCTCTCTTTTTTCCTCTGCTCTTCCCCTTTCCTTTTCTTCTCTCTTTCTGTTTTTGTCTCCGTCTCTCTCTTAAAGGAGCAAGTATTTGTGGAGGGAAAGTAAGCATTTTTTTGCATCTGAAAAATATGTATGTATATGAAGTATTAAAATAACAATCAACTATAGTTGAGTCATGGGGACAGATTAAAAAGTCCAGAAAATAATAATGATAATAATATATTATTATATATTAATATAAATGGGGCAGTTAGGTGGCACAGCAGATAGAGTGCTGAGCTTGGTGTCAGGAAGACCTGAGTTCAAATGTGACCTCAGACACTTAACTAGCTGTGTGACCTTGGACAAGTCACTTAATCCTGTTTGCTTCAGTTTCCTTGCCTATAAAATGAGCTGGAGAAGGAAATGGCAAACCACTCCAGTGTCTTTGCTGAGAAAATCCCCAAATGAGGTCACAAAGAGTTGGACACAACTGAAATGACCGAACAACAAAAAATTAATATAAGTAATAATAATAGCTAGAATTTATATACCACTTTAAAGTTTACAGAGAGCTTTACAAATATTATCTCATTTGATTTTCACAACAATCCTGGGATGTAGATGCTATTATCATCCACATTTTATAGATGAGGTAACTGAGGCAGACAGGTTAAGTGATTCACCCAGGGTTACATAGCTGGTAAGCATCTGAGGCCAGATTTGAACTCAGGTAGAACTGCATTTACACACCAAAGTAGATTATTGAGAATTGGGGCGATTAACCACTAATTCAGAAGAAATCCTCACCTTAAAAAATAATACAGATAATGGAAATTAAATATTTTTAATGGAACTATTTGGATGATTTCTTCAATTATCCATTTCATTTGGCCTATGTAAAAATGTAACCATAGATCTGGATTTTTACTCTGTCTAGTAATCTCTATAATTCTAGATCCCCAGGTTTTATTACTCCCTGAGTTACCCAAGATCACCCAGCAAGGAAAAGGTGATGTTGACACTTTGGCCTACCTTTTCAAACTCCAGTGTTTTCTTTTTTCTTTTTGGCTAGGCAATGGGGTTAAGTGACTTGTCCGGGGTCACACAGCCAGTAAGTGTTATGTATCTGAGGCCAGATTTGAACTCAGGTCCTTCTGACTCCAGGGCTGGTGCTCTATCCACTACACCACTTAGCCGCCCCTTCAGTGTTCATTTTATTACACGAGTGTAATTGGCCTTATAAGATCAACTCCTGCTTCAGATACTTACTAGCCGGGTTACCTTGGGTAAGTCACTTAATCTCTCCCTGCCTTGGTTTCCTCATCTGCTAGAAAGGGACTAATAAAATTGGTTAATATTTATAACACATGGTTGTGGTCGCAAATAAACAAGATAAAAGTATGTAAAGCACTTTTCAAACCTTAAAATGCTATACAGATACCCCCACAGACTTAGCACAGTTAATAAGCTTAAACTACTCTATGCCTTTTGGGACACTCTGTATAAATGTCAGCTATTATTATCATGTAGTAGCTTTTGAGTTTCATATTCATTAGGTTATAGAAATGTCAAAGTTTCCTATATAGAAAATGTTACTTCTTTTATGATTGTCCAGTTATTTTGTGTGTGATACATAGCAATTGATAGCAGCTCTGTTGACTAATATGTGAAAAGTCAAGGAGAAATATTCTAGAAAATGCCAAATTTCAGAACCCACAGTGGGATAATATTCATAGTCAGATAAAAGTGAGGTACCATGACTTAGTCAAAAGGGGACAAATTAAAATGGATACTGGAATGGAAGTCCTGAGACCTGAGTTTGACACCTAATTCTAACATTCACTAGCTATGGGGACCCTGGACAATTAATTTCATCTTTCTCAGATACATCATTTTAAAATTGGGATTACTCATAATTATAACACCTGTCTTACAGGGTTGTTGTACTGGAGCTTTCCTTATATCTCAGAAATCTTGGCTATCTTAATAATAAACTGATTTGATTGACTGATGCTCTTGCCCTAAGTTTCTGCCACAGATTCGGAAAAGAGTCCAGAATGTCAGTTAGCTGCCAGTCTACAAATTAGAATCTCTGCGTTCCCCTCCTCTCTTCTCCCTTATTTTACCTGGGGCCCTTTTGGTAATGAGTTTTCTTGATAAGTTCTAGTTATTGAACTGGAATCCAATTTTTCTTGTTTTCTTTGGAAAGACCTCTGGGAATAAACTCACTGTATAAAGAATAAGATTAGGTAAAAGGGACAACGAAAGGTGCAGTGGGCTTACTTTGCTTTGATGTACAGTTAACTCTAT